AATCTGTTAACTATTTGCAATGCTTTGTGTAGTATTGTTCAGAGAGTTTACATTTACAAAGAAAAATCGGTTTTCTTAATTTTTTCTGTTGCATCCTGCTTTTCTGCGTACATACAGACTATTTGTTAGAGAAAGCAGGTACTAAAAAGCCTGCTTGTTTTTTGTTTTTTTTTCTTTTCAGCATTAACCTGTTGTGTTCATATATCAAAACCAGATCTAAAATGACATTTTATTCAGTAGAAATCTATGCAACGGCCTTGTTTAAAGTTAGCTGTGAACAATTAGTGCAGTTTTGTATTCACAAAATATAATAATAATAATAATTATTCATTGCAATTAATCAACTTTTTAGGGTAAGGGGTTACAAATGAGGTATACGGGCTGAATTTTAACAAACAGATTAAAGGTGCAGTAGGTGATCTGCCAAAATGCTAGTCGGTTAGCAAATTAGTTTTGGATGGTAGGGGAAACTGTGAAACTTTGTTTCAAAGCCAGGCCTCCTGAAATTGCCCACCGCGACACGACAGCAAAAAACCACTAGTTCATGTCATTCGCAAGTTAGGCCGGCGGCGTGCAGGAATTATACTTATTACTAAGCCACACTTGCATGCTATTTCGGAGCGAATATTCAGAGTAGCATCACAGGCTGTCATTGTTCAGAAATAACCCAATGTGAATATAAAAGCATCTATAGCTCAGTAAAGCAGGCTAGGCGGAAAAGCGCTATTTACTCATGTTTTGTTGTTAAACTATAAATCTACATTATTGATGCTGTAAAAGGCCCTTATGAAACTGAAAACAGTCACGTCAATCTTTCGCCGGGAGATTTCAGTGGCTGAACAACATGTCTGTGCATAACCCATTTGTAGCATCTGCATCAAGTCTGCGTGAAGCTGAAATAGTTTTAAAAACAGAACCTGTCCTTTCTAACAGAAATACTTCAGGCATGGTGTCGTCCTTCCTCCAGTGTGCAAAAGTAACTCCAATATTGATTCAGGAGTTTAAAAAGTTTCAATTCAGCATTTGATTTTGCCGCTGCTGTGACCATCTCGTGCGGGCGTGCACACGCTAATGGCGCATATGTGTGAACAGAGATGCGCAAAAGCCCAAATCTTTATTTGTTGACAGTTTGAGCTACTTTTCGGAATTATGGGAGATGTCGGCCTGACTATATTTAATTGGATGAACATTTTTTTAGTTTCATGTCTTATCCAGAATATAAAAAAATATAAACACATTTAGATCATTTACTGTAATCATTACTATAGGACTGTGAAGAGACTTTCAACCAGCACAACAAAAAATGTGTCTGAAGACAGTCACCTACTGCACCTTTAAGTTGAACATTACTAAATTTATTTTGTTTAAATTCAGCTCATACTGTATAAATAGTTTGCAACCACTTACCTTAAAAAAAAGCAGTGAATCCAATAAATCTTTTTTTCAGTGTGACTTTTTCCGTGCCTTCTAAAATAAAGGCATTTTACATGTATTTAATATTTTGCCCAATGATTTGTTCTACCAGTAAACTAACCAAACAAGTGGTAAAAATGACCACAGACACAAAAAAAGGCAATGTTATAATATTTATTGTTATTTTTTAAAACTAAATGATGCCTAATATAACCATGTATAAATGCATTTTGCTTTACATCACATTTATATCAGGATGTTCGATGGCAATCTAACTGATTACAAATAAAGCACTAACTGAAAATATTCCATGCTATATGTTTCATGCGCCGAAAACAGCAACAGTTCTAACTTAGTTCAGCATAACAACTAAATAGGTGGAAGACAAACTGCATATACATAAAAGAAAAATATCCTCTTACATGTAGTAGTGTGGCAGTGGAAAAAACCCTGTTTTTTTTTTTAAAAAACCTCAACTAACCTGCAACAGAAGTAATTGATCCAGTCTAGAGGGACATGGAGAGTGTGGCTGTTTTGATAAGATGTGATTCTCAATCAACAGCTGCCTGAGAATGTTGAAGCTTCATGTTTCAAAACACTCAACAAATTTGGGATTGGAGCTGTCTTAAGCGCGCACTTACAATAATTGACTCGCTGAAATGAAACTTAATAGTGCACCGCTGTTTTATAAGAGGGTTTCAGTTACAGAACAGTGCGACCCTCCATTATTACTAATTACTTTGAATGAGGGAAGAGAAAAAAAAAATACAGCTAGCTTTGATTTAGTTGTAAATCAGTTAATAAAGCAGATTTTGTTTACATTATTATTACACACACACATTTATATATATAATGTTTAACTGCTGATCTTTGCTTAGAGTACCAAACTCATAAGTGCCCTTTGCAACATTCAATAACAAAACCATAAGATATAGTACATCTGGAAAGTATTTAAAGCGCTTCACTTTTTCCACATTTTTTATGTTACAGCCTTATTCCAAAATGGATTAAATTCATTTATTTCCTCAAAATTCTGCACACTATACCCCATTATGACAGTTGTTGCAAATTTATTAAAAATAAAAAACCTGAAAACTCACATGTACATAAGTATTTACAGCCTTTGCTCAACACTTTGTTAATGCACCTTTGGGAGCAATTACAGCCTCAAGTCATTTTAAATATGATGCCACAAGCTTGGCACACCTGTCTTTGGGAAATTCTGCCCATTCCTCTTTGCATGTTTAGTGGAAACAAGCTCTATCAGGTTGGATGGGAAGTGACGGTGTACAGCCATTTTCAGATCTCTTAAGACATGTTCAATAGGATTTATGTCTGGGCTCTGGCTGGGCCACTCAAGGACATTCACCGAGTTGTTGTGAAGCCACTCCATTGATATTTTGGCTGTGTGCTTTGGGTCACTGTCCTGCTGGAAGATGAACCATCGCTCCAGTCTGAGGTTAAGAGCACTCTGAAGCTGGTTTTCATTCAGGATGTCTCTGTACATTGCTGCATTCATCCCTCTATCCTGACTAGTCTACCAGTTCCTGTTGCTGAAAAACATCCCCACAGCATGATGTTGTCACCACCATGCTTCACTGTAGGGATGGTATTAGCCTGGTGATGAGCGGTGCGTGGTTTTCTCCAAACGTACCGCCTGGGATTCACTCCAAAGAGTTCAATTTTAGTCTCATCAGCCCAGAGAATTTTGTTTCTTATAGTCTGAGAGTCCTTCAGATGCCTTTTGGCAAATTCCAGGCGGGAGAGGCTTCCGTCTGGCCACTCTACCATTCAGCCCTGATTGGTGGATTGCTGCACAGATGGTTGTCCTTCTGTAAGTTTCTCCTCTCCACAGAAGAACGCTGGAGCTCAGACAGAGTGACCATTGGGTTATTGATCACCTCCCTGACTAAGGCCCTTCGCCCCGATCACTCAGCTTAGATGGCCGGCCAGCTCTAGAAAGAGTCCAGGTGGTTCCAAACATCTTCCACTTATGAATGATGGAGGTCACAGTGCTCATTGGAAATTTCAGAGCAGCAGAAACTTTTCTGTAACATTCCCCAGCCTTGTGCCTCAAGACAATCCTGTCTAGGAGGTCTACAGACAATTCCTTTGTCTTCATGCTTGGTTTGTGCTTTGACATGCACGGCCAACCCTGGGACCTTATATAAACAGATGTATGCCTTTTGCAAATCATGTCCAATCAACTTAATTCACCACAGGTGAACTCCAATTGAGCTGCTGAAACATCTCAAGACTGATCAGTGGAAGCAGAATGTACCTGAGCTCAATTTAGAGCTTCACGACAAAGGCTGTGAATACTGATGTACATGTGATTTTTCAGGTTTTTTGTTTTTATTTTTAATAAATTTGCAACAATTTCAAAAACATTTTTCACATTGTCATTTTGGGGTATTGTGTGTAGAATTGTGAGGAAATAATTTACTCTATTTTGAAATAAGGCTGCAACATAAAAAAATGTGGAAAAACTCAAGCGCTATGAATACTTTCCGGATGCACTGTATCTGCCATTTGATTGATAGGAAATAATCATTTAATAAAATATAGTAACATAATCTACTAACAATCTAGTACCTAACTGTAGAATTGCATCTAGCCAAGTATGCATTGTTACACTTTAAATTAATCTTACCCGTTACAAAATGTCACACATAAAGGACATTGGTCTGTGTGTGAGCTATTCAGAAATACCTATTCAAAATGACCTATTATACCAATGTTTTATTCTGGTTCGGTAACATAATTTTGCTCATTTAAACTGAATTTGACTTGAGGTAGCAAACAGGACGCAGACATGAGAATGTTAGATAGAAAAGACATTCAAATGCATTGATGTTCACACACAGTAAGTGATATTTAAATAGAAATGCAACTCTTGTCATACAATACAGTACTGTTTATGCTCAACAAGGCTTCAATAAGAAGAATTTATGTAGCAGTAATGCGATCTGAAATTGATTTTAAATGTTTCTATGTTGTGCTTGATATATTTGTGGAACCTTTGTGTTCTTTCAGCAATATAAAGTTCTGAAGAACATCATTTGTCTCAAATAGTAATACTTTGTAGCTGTATTACACATCCCAGTCCAGTAAAGTGGCTATGCCTCTTTATAAAGAGGCTCTATTAGATTGTGTTTTTACTTTTAAAAGCTGCTATTGTGTAAAAAAATAAATAAAAATGGCCAAAACGCATAAAACGCCTTAAAATTTTAGTCAATAATAGTTGTGTAAACCTTCATTGTATAACTGACCCAATCTTTTCAAGGAGGGTTTACTTTCTTGCTGGCTTGACAAGATTCAAAAGAAATAAAAGCAATAGTACAAGGTTATACTATGTATATAGTCATATAGTATAGTTATATAGTCATAAGTTTGACTTTTTAAGTGTATATATTTGCATCAAAATCAAATAAGTGGATGAAAACCGGCATAATTTTCCACAAAGTATTTAAAATTCACATATAATTAATTAAATACCAATTTATATTGTAATCCAAGTTCTTGTAGCATATAATCAAATTCAAATCAAGTTTAAACAAATCTGACAGTCACCCACATTTTAGCAGGCCACTGTAAATGTGTTCTGATTACCTAATATGATTGTTTTGTAAATACTGTTTAAACTCATCCATGCTTTAATCCTGACCTCCTCTATCATTGCTGCTTCTAATCACTGCTGCCCTAAACTAGGGCTGAAATTGGGTTTCAGCACAGTGCTGATTGACATAGATATGGATGTTATCACATCTTGGTGATATAACGCTCACCTAATTTACTCAGTGATGACAGAAATCCACTAAAAAGGCAGATCTGTTGGATGGGCTTAAGCTGCTCAAATGAACTGAAGCCCTTATATGGTCCAAATTAAGGTAAACAGAGTGATTTGGCAAGTTTTCAGTCGTGTTTGTGATCATGGTAGACCTGCCAGTTTCCAGGTACAGTCTCGACAGTCGGAACCGGCACGAAAAGTCCCAGAACCCAATGGGAACCAAAAACGTCAGTCAGGTTTGCTCGCCAGGTACCACGACACTCCGACAACTGGCCTTTCTGCAGTTCACACCAGGTCTGTCCTCGGGCCACTAGCAGAAGCTGTTGACAGCAGAAACCAACACTCACTAGTCCAATACCCAGCCAGATGTACAGCATTATCACCAGAAAGAACTGGAGACCTGAAATCAAACCTGAAGAGAGAAAACAAGTACTATCATATCCATCGATAAACAAAGCAAAGCACATTTCAGGAAAATCCAACACCATGTCATGGCAATCCCAAACTTTTTGATTTAGTGGCTAATTCATACTCATTTGTACTTTTTAGTACAATTTGCTCATTCTCAATTAGGGGTAGGGTTAGGAGTGGGATTAGCAGGCATGGCTCCTTTTAAAAAGTGTACTTTTGTTGGCGCCAACCAGAGGTGGGATCAAGTCATTGTTTGGCAAGTCACAAGTAAGTCTCAATTCATTGCCCTCAAGTCCCGAGTCAAGTCCCGAGTCAAGACAGGCAAGTCCCGAGTCAAGTCCCAAGTCAAAGGCAACAAGTCTCAAGTCAAGTCCAAAGTCCTATAGTTTGATTTTCGAGTCTTTTCGAGTCTTTTTAACAGAAAAATAAAATTTAAACAGATTATGTATGGCTGTAAGATCTGTATTTATTAAACAAACCTTTTTTTTAATGAAAGAACATTGCTTAGATATATCAAGATAGAAAATGTAATTTTCTGAAAAAGTGCTAAACAGTGCTGCGTCTCGTCTACACAGCCTATTGCACAAGAATGAGTTCCACCAAAAAAAAGAGTCCATTTTGCCTCACATCACACAGAAATTGCAGGTCTACTGCTGTCTAGTTCATTAAGTTTAGCTGTGCTATGTTATGTCTTCAGTGATCAACTTGTGATTAACTAAAACTACATGAACAACCTCAATGAGGCAGCAGTAGACCAACAACTCCTGTATGCTGCAAAGTAAAATTGAGTGAAATTGGTATTTTGTCAATTGAATCTCGTGTGTGCTAAAGAGATGGAGATGCAAATCTGTCTAGCAGCAATGTAAAATGGTAGCACATATTCTAAATGAAGTAGGCTACTTCATACAAACAATAACGTTGTTTTCTTCACATAACAATGAAGAACTTTGCTCTCTACCTTGTGTGATGCTCCTGCACCGACTTCCTCTGTGGATAAAACTGCTTGAGAGCTCTCAAATATACGCTGCTCACGCGCAAATTTTCTCACTCTCAAATATGCACTGCTCACACACACATTTTCCTGCGTGCTCTCAGAGATTATATATAGAATTTGTGTCTTGTGTTTCCTCTTCCTTTTGTGCTTTTTGATATGATTTATATTGAGGCACTATTTATTAACAATAACCAAAATACTAAAATAGACTTACATATTACATTTTTTATCTAATAAACCATAACATTTTGGCTGTATGTTTTATGATGAGATATTTCCAGTTTCAAACACTTAAAGACACAGAGAATAGATGTTGGATGTAAAGAATGCATTTTGTTTTATAAAACATTTATTAAACATCAACAAGGTGCACCATACTAATCAAATAAAAAACATTTAAACAAAAATATAACCAACGCAAGCAGAAATGTAACTGTGATAAAAATAAGGAAAAACTTGATTTGGCATTATTGTCTACTGTACTATTCACTCTTTAAATAAATCTCACTATCAATCCCATTTTATCATGGCAACTAAAATAAAGTGAACACGTCTCTGCTGTCTTCCACATTATTGATGAGATTGTGGAGGACATTTTCCATGTCATCCTCTTCTTTTTGAGGAAAAGCTGTTCCACAGGGCCCCTGAACACATCTATTGACATGTACTGTGTTTTGAACAGTACTATAGTAAAGTACTTTAATTAATCTGTTGGGGTAATATTATAGTTGCTATGGTAACCCAAGTGTAATATAAACAAATGACCCAGTGCTGTAGTTTTTTACAGTATAGGGTATATTATACTACAATTCACCACACTTTACTGTAATAAAACTACACTCTGTATTTCATTTTATTAGTTCACTATTCTTAATACTACAGTATGCTGAAGCATTCATTAAAAACTTGTAAATAATACTATGCTTAAACATAGGAAGTATACCAAACTCTCAAAAACACTAGTATTTATTATAGAATTTATCTTAACCTCATAGTTTTTCGTGTATTGTTACTAAATAGTGTAGCAATATATAAACCATATCAACATTCTGGAATAATCAATTTACCAGGAGGATCTCTGGAGAGCACAAGCAGGAAAGGTATGAAGCGCCAGTGTGGACAAAACTCAAGCAAACGCAGAGAGACTGAATACGCGCGTGAGAGACCAGCAAATCAGATTGAAGTACCTGCCCACTGGTAAAAGTAATGTCAGAGCCAATCAGATTTTTCTTTCTTTTCATAAAGAACGGGGTTCGAATCCCACTTAGGCACTTGTAAACAATCATTTTAGAACATTTTGTCAAAAATCCCTACTGAAAAAAACAGCTTAAACCAGCCTAGGCTGGTTGGCTGGTTTTAGAGGGGTTTTGGCCATTTCCAGGCTGGTTTCCAGCCATTTCCAGCCTGGTCTTAGCTGGTCAGGCTGGGAGATGACCAGCTAAAACCAGCTATGTCCAGCTTAAACCAGGCTGGTCAAGCTGATTTTAGCTAGATTTTGCTGGTCAGTTTCCAGCCTGACCAGCTAAGACCAGGCTGGAAATGGCTGGAAACCAGCCTGGAAATGACCAAAACCCCTCTAAAACCAGCCTGGTCGACCAGCTAAAACCAGCTTACCAGCCTAGGCTGGTTTAAGCTGGATTTTTCTGCAGGGATATTGTTATGTTTAACCATTTATTAGAGCCACAAAGTATCTAAAACTTGTTTTCATGTTTGAATAGCCAATAAATGTGCTAAATAAATTAAAATAGAAATACCCACAGTGAAACAGTTATAAATTTAAATATTAGTTCAAATACATTCATAGTGGTTTTAAATATCTTTTAATATGTAAAGTAGAGAAGTTCACATTCAACAAACTGAATAAAACAAGTCTTTAGTTTATTTAAAAACAATTACAAAGGGAGTAATTCAACTCACAATTAAATGATCTCATTGAGTGATGGAATAATAAAGGTAAAACTTTAATTGAATGATCAGTCAAGTGTTTCCAAATGAAATCTGTTAAAATAAGAGTCCTACAAAACAAAAATATTGCTAAGAGGCATAACATCAACAATAATAAAAATACCTTTAAGGTTTTAAATACTAAATAAAATTAATAGAATTAATCCAAAATATGAAAAATGTAACACTTTACAATAAGGTTGTATTAATTAATTAAGTTTATGCATGTACTAATGTGAACAAACAAAGCAGTGCAGTTCATTAACGTTACAGTATTCATTATTTTATGCTTTAATTAATGGAAATAAAATTATTGGTTAATTCTTGTTAACTCACAGTGCATTAACATTAATGTTAACAAGCATAACTTTAAATTGTAATAATGCAATAGTAAATGTTAAACTATAATTAATGAAGGTTTAGAAGTATAGTTCATTATTAGTTCATGTTAGTACATAGATTAACTAAAGAAACCTTATTGCAAAATGTCACCAGAAATTAACAAAAAACTTTTTTTTTACAGTTTTAAGAGCTTTAAAAATAAATTATATATCTAGTTATTATGACATGTAATTAATGTTACTACTAATTAAATAGTTAGAAAATACTGTCAGAGGATTGGCAAAACACAAAGATAAAACATAATATGCGCATTGACACAAACGACCAAGTGCAAAAACATAAATTACAGCCATGTTCATTCATAATTATATGAAATAAATCACGAGAGGGTAAATTTGGTTTAAAAAAAAAACTGAAGTTCATTGACTTATGCACAACAGTAAAACAATGCTTTTGCACAACAGTAACACATTGCGAGTAGTAAAGTCTCTTACCTTTGACAGATGTTGTAAATCCGCTGAATAAAACAAAAGGAGCAGATCGCGGATGTGTTTATTTCACTCTCCGAGTCAGAATGAAAATGGCATCTTCAAATTTCCCGCTGGTGCAAAAACACGGAAGTGCGCCACAAAGCGCTAGTGGTCGAAAGTATGCGTGCATGCTCTCTGTCACACACGCACACACACGCAGAGATAGAGCGTTCTGTGTCAACATACTTTTTATCTTTGGGCTTTTTATAGAAAGTAGCAAGTCTTTACAAGTCAATAGGCGCAAGTCCAAGTGAAAGTCAGAGTCATTTATGTTCAAGTCCAAGTCGAGTTGCAAGTCTTTTCATATTTTGTCAAGACGAGTCTGAAGTCATCAAATTCATGACTCGAGTCTGACTCGAGTCCAAGTCACATGACTCGAGTCCACACCTCTGGCGCCAACAGCCTAGTGGCAAAGTGCGCTGACATATAGCACTGTGGTGCTGGCGGTGACCTGAGATTGATTCCTGGCTCAAGGTCCTTTGCTGATCCTTTCCCCTAACTCTGCTCTCCATGTATTCAGTGTTGCCAAATATCGCTGACTTTTTTCAGCCCAAAAGCTGTCCAAAACCCGCCAAAACGCACAAAAAATATTAGATTAAACTGTTAGCCACCACCCCATTTATGGGGATTTACACCTACCTAACTTTAAATAGTAACAGTTCTTGACCCCAGTAAGCTACAAACATAAAATATATATCATTGGAAAGAAGACTTTAGCTTTAATATGATACATGTGGTAGGTTTTATGCTAAAATATAAAAAAGTTATACATGCTGAAGCAATGAGATTTTTTTTTTTTTGTTCAATGTTTGTTTTTTTCATATATAAACACGAGACAACATTAATGAAGTGATCTAGAAAAAATATGACTTGAAAGCCAAGTGTTTCATGAGTTTATATTTCAAATTTGATGAAGATAGCATGCAAAATATGATTTTGGAAAAAAGTTTTCTGAGACCATGTCTGTGTCTTCACTACCTCACCGTCAGAGTCATTTTCTCAAAAATGTCTGAAATAAATGTCAGTGTTCCGTGTGCCACTGAAAATATCGCTGACTTTTTTCAGCCCAAAAGCTGTCCAAAACCCGCCAAAATGCACAAAAAATATTAGATTAATATCTTATTTAATTCTCATGTATTTAAATCGAAATTAAGCTAGTTACTTTAACTGTCATGATTTTTAACCACACAGCAAACAACATCAGCAGCCACAACATAACCAGGTCTCACCCAAACACTGCCCCCCTCTCACCAACAAACTGCACTTAATGTTAGAGTATGTTTTACTTTTGAAATGGGGTATAGATTCGTCCTGTTTGGCGTTTTAAATTCCTTTGAACATAGTTAGGTGCTGCTTGTCAATCAGACAAGGATTCTATGTTTGTTCTTGCTGTCAATTGTAAAAAAAAAAAAAAAAAAAAGATTAATAAAAGTGTCATGCGTGATGCACGCATAGGGGAGTCAGATTTGTCCGGGTAGTCAGATTTTGAACTTTCCTTCACCTCCTCTTGTGGGTGGACCCATGCGGTTTGCGCTATGCACTGGTCACTACTAACTGAATGGAGCAGGGGCACACAGTTATGGTTTATTATATAAGTTGCATATAAAAGTTACGTTTCAAAGCCGCCCAATTGGCAACACTGCATGTATTCCTGTCTCAACTCCACTGTTCTAAATAATAAAGGTGAAAAATGTGCGTTTTGAATTTTTTTTTTACGTTTTAATATGAATATAAAACCATATGAATTCATACAAATTACCCACTTTTCTGACAGTACATAAGTTACAAGTTTCTTTGTGAGATTAGGCTAAAAATAGGAAGCATGGCTTAATTAACTGGAGGCTGCGACCTTGTTTTTGTATTGTGTTTCAGTTCCTAGAGAAATCGAATATTAATTGAGAAAACAGTGGGCGTGGCTTGTTCTTTCCACTGTGAGCTGATTGGATAGAGTAAAATAGCCATTTCATTCCATTCAGAGAGCTCGGGAAAAGGTTTCGGGAGTTATTAACAACCCAACAGACAGCTCCTCCTTGCCATTTCTGTTTGTTGTCGAAACTTACAGTTGAAGGGGCGTGGTTAAGTATATTAGCCACACCCAATACCTCAGACAGACGTAATCTGAAAATTGAACTAAAAAACAAACAGGAAGTGCATTTTCAGATTTCAATTTTCACTTTTTTGCTCTTGATGACATGCATAAATGAATTGTTCACCACAAAACTAGCAATGTGAACTAAAAAAACCATGTGGTTAGTTTTGATGCCATGTGTACTTTAAACTTACCAAGGAAGAAGTAACCAGTCGAGAGTGGCAGAAGAGTGAGGAACGTCAGTGGGTTCTCGAAGGAAATAGAGTACTCTATTGTCAGATATGCCACCCCTATTACCAATGAATATAGACAAGAGCTGGACGTATAGATGCTGAACATAATAAAGTAGCGCATGTTCCTGTTCCCAATACAGTTTCCAGTGAAAAAGCAGTGGTGGTCCCGTTTTAGAATCACCTTTTTGCACACTTTACAGAAGTGGCGTCCATTCAGGAGGTAGTGCGCATCAATTCTGTCCGGGCAGTCGGGTGAACAGACTGGGATAACGGTCTCGTTGGCACTCTCGGATGGGTTCCGTATAGTCATGATGTAATTACCCAGCGCATTCCCCATGAGGAATAGAAAGATGCTGATGTGAGCCAGCATTGCGGGATTTATAGTCACATCTGAGCTTTGGAAAATGGTGGGCGTGAAAAGGAGGAAGTGGAGAGCGAATGTGACCACGGTTGCAGCGTAGAAGTATGCAGGAGCAATCGTGTTGAGTAGTTTGAGTTTCCCCATCTTGAACAACATGCCTGTGTTCAATTAAAAAAAGACAATGAAGGTCTTTATTATTCAGAACATCAATCCAATGATTGTTGATCAGTATCAACAATTTGTGTCCAATGACTATGGTACACTTTAAAGTAGAGCTGCACCATATTGGAAAAATCTAACATTGCATTATTTTGTTTTCTGCAGTATATATTGCAATATGAATACAATTTCAGCCAATTTATAATTTAGTTTAATTGGGATGATTCTGTAGCATCTGCATAAAATGTAATTAACAGTCTACAAGCACAGGATATTACAATAAAGGAAAAGATACAGATGAATTAAACCGTGTTTTATGGTTTTCTGGGGAGTCTAACAGTATTCAGATAAAGTAATTAAATAATCAAATGTAAAATAATACTGCATCATCTTCATTGACTATTGCGATCACATTGTGACATCAATGCTGAAACAATGTATTATGCAGCCCTAGTTTAAAGTGATACATATTATTGAATAAAATATATATATTTTTTTAAAGTAAAATAAATAAGTTTAATAAATACAACATATGAATATATATTGAATATTGAATATAATTTGAATATTGAATATAATTTATTCAAACCCAATCCATCCAAGATGAAAGTGACTTTTTTCTGAGTTTCCTCCGGGTGCTCCGGTTTCCCCCACAGACCAAAGACATGTGGTACAGGTGAATTGGGTAGGCTAAATTGTCCGTAGTGTATGAGTGTCTGTATGAATGAGTGTGTGGATGTTTCCCAGAGATGGGTTGCAGCTGGAAGGGCATCCGCTGCGTAACAGCGTGCTGGATAGGTCGGTAGTTCATTCCACTGTTGGGACCCCGGATTAATAAAGGGATTAAGCCGACAAGAAAATAAATGAATGAATTTACACTGTACTGTGCTCACAGGTAAAACAGTTAAATAAAACATAAACATTTAAATTAAAATGTGCTTTTAAAAGCTAATAAAATTGGCACTGTTCTTGAAAAGTAAAAAGAAAACTGCTGTACTTAAATGTAAAGTAGTATCATAAAGTAGCCTATTCATCAAAACCTGGAAATGTTTCTTGGACCTCATAAATAAAGGTCGGAATCTGCGCGCGCAGAATTCCTCAGATTTCCACAGATTTTTAGCCCATCACTAATTCTGTTTATTTACTTGAGGAAATCTATATTTATTCAGTTTTTAAAATAATTACAGTAATATTATTGACTAATAAGAAAATGTTAATCTGATTAATGTACAATGCAGTAATATTTTATGTCTTTTAGTAGAAATATCATATGAGAGACTTGCTTTGTTTACCAAAAAAGTGGATCTAATTGGATTTGCATTGTAAACATTACGTAAAAGTTAAAAAGATGTTATTTTTTATTTCACATGTTAAGGTTTTAGTTATAATACTTATTAGTATTATACAAAATAATTCTGCAGAAATCCACAGATTTTTACCAAAATTCTCCTTAGAAATAACAAAAAAACTTCTGCAGATTCCATCTGGCCCTAGCAATATGTCATCATATTCATTTATAAACTCTTTTTGATAAATTTTGAAACATACTATGCATGTGTATTTGACTTATTTGTATATGTTTGAAATCTATACATAACTTCAGAATTTAGAACATCAGAAAAGCAAATGAATAAACTATACCTGTCAACATTGGGATATAATAATACGGGATACGCCCCAACAACCGTCACAAATATGGGGAGGAAATTAGCTTCAAATGATGGAATGCAAACATTAGAAAATCAAAAATAAAATTAAAATCAATCGATCACATCGATGTTATCGTATATGTCAAAGGGTTAAAAGTGTGTTCATGTTTTACTTTAATTATTCAGCGGTTCCTCCCTGTACCAGTAGAAGGAAGCTTGCGTACCACAGTTTGAGAACCACTGTAGTAGATGGTTACGACTCTGAAGACTCTTCGCGTGTCTGTTATTTTGTTTCATATAGTTAGTTAGTTAGTTAAATGCTTAGGGGGAGTTATATATAGTTTGGGTTTTGTTCGTTTAATTTCTTCAGTGCCGCCTACGTCCCTTCTGCCAGCTGTCTTGTTTTTCCCCGTCTTTGTACTTGTTTCAGAGATGTATATATTGTAAAAACATAATTTTGCCTTGCTCATTCTTTAATAATCTACTTTGGTTGGCTTTTGCACTTAATTCCCTATTTCTATAATTTCATTGTAATTGCATATAAATGTCAAACTCCACTTTCCCCGAGACAAACATCAGAGGTTAGTAACACCAACGACTCTTAAATTGTTATTTTTGTTGTGCATTGTATTAGACTCTACAGAGCAGCATTACAACAGAACCCTAAAACATATTTACTATGATAAAATAGCGCTGTTCCCGATCAACTGTGTCATAATAAAAGCTCCACTGCTGTCATGCAGTGTATCATTCATCTCTTATCAACAATCAGTTCAACAGTTTAATTTCACTTCGACAGCTATCAATATTAATCTGCTTCAAACTAACATGATACTTTTGGCAATACTGCACAGAAACCATAGGTCCGTCAATCATATTTCCAGTGCTCATTTGTAGGAGAGGCTTGTGGGTTGTTGGTAAAAAAAAAAACTATGGTTTGTCTAACCCCATTACTTTGTTCATTATTTGACCAAAACCAAAAAGTGTTACTTTGTGCCCCGCTTTCCCCTATTGTTAGGGCCCAGGGTATAATTTATTTTTAATTTGTAAATATTGTTTTGACACCTGCAGTATTGTTCATTATTGACTTTAATTTTCATGAGTCACTAGGGGCCAGTTTAATCTAAAAGTAAAAACAGAATAGAAAACCCACTAATATGGACATTTAGAACATTTTCCATGAACTATCCCTCACAAAACTGATAAGTTTTTCATATTATTAATACGTACCTTTGGCTGACCAAATAAAAAGTAAAGAATGATATCAGTAGATGTACTGGAATGCTTTCTGAATATAATATGTCTCCAACAAGTGTTGCACAGGAAAGTGTTACTAAATAAGTGTTACTAAATCATTTATTTCATGGATAAATATCAATTGTAGTACAAAACTGAACTGCAGAATAGTGATATGCGGATCGATACTAAAATATCGATATCTCCGATACCAGCTTTGTATGTTTTAGAATTGTTAATCTGATCAAAATATTGATATTTCAGTAATTTGGAGCAAATGTATAGCAACCACAATTACCCTAGTTTATCTGAATAATGTACACCTAGTCGGAACTACTTGTTCTTCCACCTGCCAAGTCATGTGCGTAATATGGCACTGTACAACTGCACAGCATGTAGCTAGCCACTCAGTCCACTGGCGTGGCACATGTTGTTCAGTCATGCAGTCATTGGATGTGGGTGACCGCAAGCGAAGTATGTGTGGAGCTACTTCACTTCCACAAACTCAAACGATGCTGTTTGTGACACGTGTAACTAAACAGTGAGGTACTGTGGTAAAACCACAAACCTAATCAAACATCTACATATAAATCACAAGACAGAATATGACAACGTCATAACTAGGCGCTCATTAAGAGAAGGAAAGGAGAGGCACAGGTGCTGCTAGGGCAAGAAAGACATCGCTTTTAAAGTCCTTAGGCGCAGCAGGCAAGCGCTATCCAAGTACAGAGGGAGAAAATGTGGAGATGTGGCTGTATTTTGGGGGCTTGGGTTCTTGTGACAATGATAAAGCAACGGAAAAAGGTTAAAAATCTTCAAGGGGACCAAAATGTGCGAATGTTTATCGTTTTATGTTAAGGTGTTCAGGTAGGCGTTTTAAGATATACATTTTCAGATGCTTTCAGTTAATATGTAAGTTGGTTTTTTTTATGATAATTCTTCCTCAATAAACAAGAATAACCCGTAATATGTCTCTTATTTAGTATAAAGTACACTATTTGATACTTTAATTTCCCAAACTGTAATTTTAGGCAAAGTATCGGTATTGGATCGGTATCGCCGATACTCGCCGTCTTTTTACTTGGTATCGGATAGTGGTAAACCAGTGGTATCGTACATCACTACTGAATAAATTAAGCGTTTCATACAAGTTTCCTAAATATTCTCACGTCTTCCATTGGTCGGCAAAAAAATAGTCCCGCCCCAAATTTATGCCAGTGGTTGAGTCCATGTAGCCATGAAGGACTAAAAAAAAGCAGTGCTGCTTAGTGCTGAAGAATAAATGAACTTTAAACGACATTGTGGACAGTATCTGACACAGAAACATATAAATATGCTAATCAAAGAATGCACTCTATTTATCCATCGATCTATTTTTATATCTGTGGGCTAATTTACCATCACTTGTTAAACTGCACGATTAACATCGTTAAAGTGTAATGTACAGTAGCTTATGACGCGATAACATCTCCAACAATGGAGAAAAGGGTCTGAACAGCATCTTATCATCTTAAAACAATTGGTAGAGCTCTAATACACATCACAAATTAAATCCACAAGCAGTATTATATGCTAAAGGTATGGTTTATGACGATTTATACAATGCCTGAAGCATTGTACAGCTATCTGTTTGAAACAGAAGCAGGATGAGGATGTTGCTCGCTTACCTGACGCCGATTAAAGGAGAGGAGCCGCTGTATCAACACCGTAGTTCATCCCTCGCCGTCGGTGCTACAGCAGATAAATCACATTTGATTCATTCATAAAAGGCAAATTGGTTATAATTTCGTAATACCCAGAGCATCTGTACGCGGTGTGTCTCAGTGGTTTAGCACCGCCTGTTGGTGTAGACAAGACAGCATCCAGACACACTAGACATAGTAATAACAGACAGTAATACGTATAAAACACTGGTAATATGAATGTGTTTACGTATTTTTTTTTTTTTTTTTGCATGACTTTGCCATTTTATATACGCATCTTCTATGAATATCACTGAACCATGTTGTTTTGTCTACGATGTAGCTGCACGTTGTATGGCAAGCCATTTTAACATATAGCGTATTGTAGGGTATCACGTTTGTTTAGGATGCTACAGTAGTATACTTTCCATTAAGTATTAGCACTTATCCATTAGCTGCTTATTCTTTATATTCTAGTTTTTATTTGTTACTATTACGTTTACCTTTTTAGATAATTACTAATTCATTAGATTGTGTTTTGTTAAATCCTATTTTTATTTTACAGAGACTACCCAACAAACACATCTACGCTGTAGCAATGTCTGCACAACGTTGTAATTTTTCAAAGGCAACGTCGCCATTTATGTGCTCGCTACATTGTTACAGCATAGAAATTTAAGATGTGAAAAGGCTGTAGCAACGTTGTCGTGTGACATTCAGCAACCATGAGACGACGTTCTTACTACATGTATTAACGCTTTTCCTGGCAGTTTATCAATGCTGCCTAGAATACAGGATAAGCAGTAATCATTTTAATTATTTTTTATTCATGTTTCCTTTTTTAATTGTATAACTGCAAAAAAGTGTAAGTGCCCCACAAACGTATATAATCAAACTTTTTTATTATATATTTCACAACATTTAATACATACAGTACAGACCTAATTACAAGCAAACAGTATGAAAAAAGGTTTAGATTATATTAAATGATTAACACTGGACGTCAAAGCTCTGGACTGGAGAATACAGCAGCCCGTGGAGCGCAGCCAAAGGCCAGGTGTAGTGGAGAACGCAGTCAGAGAAAGAAATCCAACAGAGAATGCAGTTCAGAGATGGATCCACAGCAGCCACAAGTCAAAATAGGCAGAGAACAAGAGAAAACAGATCAGAGCTTGACACAACAGGACTACACAAATGACCACGGATGTCTTCTTTAGTAAGAAGAAAAAAAGCAATACTCACGTCTCCTCTGTTGTTGTTGAATAAGACGCCAAACGGGCTGTTAAAATTAAAACTGATTCATTGATGACGAGTAAATGTTTTACAGTTGTCGTCCATGCTGCCTAAGCACAACCTAAAGCAACTGCCGTTAAAGTGGCAACATTATGACACCGTTGTGACAACCTTCGGCAATAACGTAGATCCTCAACCTTTTTACAAGGTTGTTACAACGTTGTAGGAAGGTCGCTACATTGAGGCAATGTTGTTTGTTTGTTGGGAAGATCTTATATCGGGCCCAAAAAATTAAACCCGGACCCTACCAGAACCCGTGCACCTTGTGTCCGAGCCCGACCTGGTTCAACACATGAACTGTAATTATGAGCCTGAGCCCAAATAAAACCCAACTTTTTTTTAACATGTGTGCCGTTATAACAGATTTTCTCAACTACAATTCTGAGTTGTTTGAACCACAGAATTTAGTTTATATTTATCTTAATGAATAATGCTTTCCCAGAGTTGGGTTGCGGCTGGAAGGGCATCCGCTGCGTAAAAACGTGCTGGATAAGTTGGTGGTTCATTTCGCTGTGGCGTCCCCGGATTAATAAAGGGACTAAGCCGACAAGAAAATGAATGAATGAATAATGCCACAAGGACAAAGCATGTAAACCAGTCTGCTTCATGTGTCTGTTAATCGTAGAAGTTACTATTTTTTTTTTTTTTTTTGCTATGACCTCTTTCACAACATGTGCGAGCAGAGCATGAGCATGTGTGTGTGTGTGTGTGTGTTTTTTGGAATCCATTTTAGCACATTAGAATGTCGGCCTGTGGGGGGATGCTGTTGCAGGAGCTAGAGCATTGCTGTGTATGACTCGAGTCGCAAATTGTGCAAACTTTGTAGAACCACACATGTTTTGCTTAGGCCAGTTTTGCTAAAAAATTTGTATAATATTTTTAATTATGGCTTAGAGCTTTCCATCCAATTAAGCTAGTTAACTAATTTAAAAAAAGGCTGGGCTCAGGCTCGGGCAGAGAATATAAATTCTTATAGAGACTGGTACTAATAATGTAGGCCCAAATATTTGTATATATTGTAATCATTGGATGCTTTTACTTATTTATTAGATTCTAGTATTTATTCATTAGACGTGTGCTTATAAGGTATCTTATAAAAAATGGCAAAGTACTTGTTTTTAATTAATAGTTACCAGTATCGAATAAGAACTAGTAGCCTATGTAGTATTTTTTTTTTTTTTTAATTACATGAAGATGAAGAGGGCTGTCTGGGTCAGTTGGCATTTCTGTGTGGAGTTTGCATGTTCTCCCTGTGTTCGTGTGGGTTTCCTCCAGGTGCTTCGGATTCCCCTACAGTCCAAAGACATGGTATAGGTGAATTGAATAAGCTAAGCTGGCCGTAGTGTATGTGTGTGAATGCAAGAGTGTGTGGGTGTTTCCCAGTGTTGGGTTGCAGCTGGAAAGGCATTCGCTGCAGAAAACATTTCCTGCATAAGTTGGCAATTTATTGTGTTGTGGTGACCCCTGATTAATAAAGGGACTAAGCTGAAAAGAAAATGAATGAATGAATAAAAAAGGGCTGTGATGCCTCCATTTTCTGGATATTAGGTTTTGCTGTTGATATTATTAATTTAAATGTACTTATGTAAATGTAAAATATTTCAATGAATGAATGAATAAATAGCAGCCACTAAATTATTGTGGATTGATTGGTGAAACTGACATAGCTGATTCACTGCCCCTCCCCCTCCCCAATTGTCCTTGACAGCACACTTTCAATTGACAATATAATATTGACAATGTAATATTCACCTTTAGGTATATCAACAAGCAGTATTAGTAATTTTGTGGCTCAGAAAGGAATATGAATAAATTATATTATTAGGATCTGTAAAGTGAGTGTGTGTGTGTATAGTAATGGCTTTTGTAAAAATTTGTCAGTTTTAATAATAAATTCATTAATCTTCATTAATTTTAGACATGGCAAATACTGTATTCTGTACAATAAAAGTATGTGAACAATTACTAAAAAGATATTTATAGATATGAAAAGTGCTTTTAAACTAAATATTGCTTTTTATTTGTTTTGCACATGAACTTGCTGAATTATTTCAAGGAATAAGTTGCAATATTTCAAGAGTAATTAATTAAATGAGTTAAAGCCACATTATTTTATTTAGCAGACACAAAAATATAACATTACACTCAATACATTTTGTAATGTGACACCCCAAGATTTAGTATGGCCTCTTCTGGCCACCCCTACGAAAATTTTCTGGGGGTCGCCACTGAATATGCGGGAGACTCCTGGACCATGGAGAGTTCGGATGTCTGCTTTAGCATGAAAATAGGCACTAGTAGCCTGCTTATAGATAATTTTGAGGAATGTAAAAAAACAATGGTCCCAAAGTATTTTTTACATTTTTAATTTCTATAGCTTTTAACAACATTACGTTATGATTGAATTGCATCTTGTTACAATTATAAAATAGTTATATAACAAGCAAGAAATGTTCATAGGCCAATGACAAGACCACATTGAAATGGTCTATATTAAATGTCTAAACAGCTTGCCATACGCAGCGGCTCCTTACAATGGATCTACAACACGTAGTTACAACTTCAACCAGCAGAGGGCAGTGCAAACCATCGCTTATTTGGTGAAATGTGTTTATTTAATTATTTCAGGAGGGGGGAGCGGGGGGTTAACACAGATAAAACCATGCCTTGAGACAAACCTGACGTTACGCGATAACGAGCGACGCCAACCAGCTTTTATCTGTAACTCACAGAAACGCGCAATCCAAACTTATTCGCAGTTTTCGTGTTTGTTGACAGAGCGTCACTTTGCTGACGGTCCCTACACGGAAGGGCGCTCCCCGTGTGCGCTGGTGCTGATGCAGACAGAGAGAAGCATCTAACCGGACATAAACCACAGGAGGTGTTTGAAAGGTAAGCAGCACTATTGTTATATTCACACCACCACCAAAACAACTACTCCCGGAGAAAGCTCACTTCAGCAAACGATTCAAACACGAAATCTGAACTTCAACGGGTTATAAAAGTAGCCGTTTTTTTTGTTGATGTAACAGTTGTAGACACTGGGTTTAAAACGCTATTGCAGCAGACTGTGCTTGGGTGCTAAACATAAAGAAGAGGGGAATTCTTCAATAATTAATCACCTCGAGGTGTCTGGAAATGCTTACCAGATGGGGGTTGCTTTGGCTTGTTTGTTTACCATCTTATACATCTCCAGGAGCCCCACTGCTTTATTGTGCCATGGGAGTGCGCACGTTGTGCCTTTATTACGAGCTCCTGATATGATCTTTTTAAAGTTACGGCTGCTTTGCTGCTGCTGATAATGGATGTATTAGTCTTTACATGCTGACAGCAGGGAGTTTAATGTCTGGATTAGGAATTGAATGGGAACAAGTCAAAGCTGTGCGTTACAAATCAGAGGATGGGGGCGGATAGATTTCTCCACGCTGTTGCCAAGAAGCTGTGATGATCCTCAAGCAGATCATCATAATAACTTCTAATCACAATTAGAAATGTAGCCTCTCATTTTCACTTTGAGAATCAACAGTCAAGAACATTTGCACGGCCATATCTGCACAAATTCAAAAGGAAGAAGAAATAAATGGTGTTTATCTTACATTTTTAAATAAAAAGTGTAAATTAAGTAGAATGACCCATTAAATTTACCTTAATGCAAAAGAATATTATATAAATTTGATCAAATGTAGATATTTATTTTATTTACAATTCAAAGTAGTTTTATATTATAGTTAAAAAGTGATGCAATAACAAAGATACTTTCAATGGTCCTGAGGATCTCACAAGA